TGCACCTAGGGAGGAGGACAGTGGGTGGGGAGGGAGGGCGGAGGGTGGGGGGGGAACTGGGAGGAGGGAAGTTATGGGGGGGAAAAAAAGAGGAACAAATGTAACCTGAACAATAAAGATTTAATTAAAAAAAAAATTAATCAAACTGGACCTTTTCTCTTTTTTGCTTTTCTCATTTTTTTGTTCCATTCAGAAAATCGTGTGCTGACTCAGTAACCTCCTCATGGAAGCTTTCACTTCCTGATTGCGTAGGGTATAGATCACAGGATTCATCAAAGGAAAGATCACCGTGTGAAAGAGGGAAACCACTTTGTCAGCTGGGAAAGCTCTGAAGGGGCGAGTGTAGATGAAGATGGCAGGTCCAAACATGAGAAACACAATGATAATGTGTGTGGTGCATGTGGAGAAAGCCTTGCTCTTCCCTTCAGAGGAGTGCTCCTTTACATGGCACAGGATAACTGCATAGGAGGCCAGAAGGCCCAGGAAGCACAGGAGGGTGAGCAGGCCACTGTTGGAGACCATCAGGAGCTCCACCACAAAGGTGTCTGTGCAGGCCAGCTTGATGACCTGCGGCACATCGCAGAAAAAGTTATCCAGCTGGTTTGGGCCACAGAAGGGCAAGTGGAGAATAAGGGCCACTTGTACGATGGAATGAGTAAAGCCACCTAGCCACAGAGCCAACAGCAAGGCATAGCAGGCTCGGGGGTTCATGACAGTTGAATAGTGTAAAGGACGGCAGATGGCTATGTAGCGGTCAAAGGCCATGACAACAAGAAGAAACATCTCTCCTGCTCCAAGGAAGTGCAAGAAAAAGAGCTGAGTGATGCAGCCCCTGTAGGAGATTACCTTCTTCTCAGAGAGGAAGTCCACCAGCATCCTGGGAGCCACAATGAAGGAGTAGGATGCATCCAGGAATGCCAAGTTGCCCAGAAAGAAGTAGAGGGGGGCTGTGAGGCCAGGGTCTGATCTGATGGTGAAAATGATGAGGAAATTTCCAGGGAGAATGATGAGGTAGAAAATTAAAACTAGCACAAAGACCAGGAGTTGAGCATCTTGAGACTGGGTCAGACCAAGGAGGATGAATTCTGTCACCACTGTGCTGTTTTCGCTCTCCATAACTCCTCAATCTACAGAATAACAAAGCAAAAAATATTGTTATAACCTTCTTTTCATCTGTTTCATAGCTCTTCTCCAAATAAAAACAATATTTGCCACATCCAACATTCCCTAGCTGAAAACAACTTATGCCTCATAACTCTCATATGTTTTGAGTTAACCTTTCTAAATGGATAAACCTCTAAAAAAACCCTTCATTTTCCGGATTCCCCTAGACACTGTTCTTATGACAACACTATTGTTCCCATTTAAGTGCATCTATATAACTGTGCTCCTTTAGGACTCTGGGCTACTATGCTTGAGGTATATTAAAAATTTCCTGATTAAAGCAAAACTTAACCATTATCAAAATGATCAGATTTTGTTGTTGTTACTGCTAGTGGTTATATTACTACCTGCAATGTTTAGATTAGTTGCTGGATTTTGGACCTCTGTCTTCATTCCAACAGAGCAAAGTGCTTTTGCAGGTGCTTCTTTCCTTCAGTTCCTGTAGAATGCCTAGTTCCCAGCTGGCAGCTATATGCTTTTCTTTTTCTGGATTTGTGCCTTAATAGTTCTTATTACATTGTGCTTCTTTGGTACTCTTATGCACCCTTAATCCAAGCTGGTCACCAGGATCTCAAGCAAGATATCTACATTTTACAAAACTTAAAGGTATCCTCCCATTATAACCCTGGTAGAGTTCCAATCCTGCATCTGCTCCACACTGTTCTTAAATCTTAACACTAATCCAGTCTCATTTGCTCACTATACATCTATAGCCCACTTCTTCCTCAGATCTCATAATGATAGCCAAATGATCCTTCACAAAAATATTTTTATATAATATAAAATTATTACAATATGTAAAATATTTTTGCTATCTCTAATAAAAATCAAAGCACACTAGAGCTGGAATTGGTCATATAGCACATATAGTCTAATATACTCACTTGGCAGATGAGAAAAATAAAGCAATTGCAGTTAAGATTCTTCAATTTGCAATGAGTTTTCTTCTTAATTCTCATTAAAAAATTGTAGAAAAGATGGCATGTTTTCCTTAGTTTAAATTGATTAGGAAATTGTTAGTGTCCCATCAACTGGTATTGTTTTATTTAGGCACTTAAATAATTAACCATGATATTGCTTGTGTAAGTATATCCCATTTGGGGGGAATAATCTAGCTTAAATAAGAACTCTATTCATGTTTGAGACATTCAGATGTAAGGTTTAGTCTATGTAGTGGCCTCCAAAGGGGTTGATTGTGTTCACCCCAGGAGATTCACAAGATAATAAATGAAGGTGCATAAAAATAGTAGACTTTCTCTATGTATTATTATAAATTATGCATTTACAATGTTTTATATTTGTGATTGTTTTATACTTTTTATATTACTACAATTGTTGAAACATTTTACAAATAAACTGGAGGCCTGGTGCACAAAATTTGTGCACTCGGGGGTGGGGGAATCCCTCGACCTGGCCTGCGCCCTCTCGCAGTCCTGGAGCCTTTAGTGCTGCCGCTGAGGAGGGAGAGGCTCCCGCCACCGCCGCAGTGCTTGTCAGCTGTGAGCCTGGCTTCTGGCTGAGTGGTGCTCTCCCTGTGGGAGCACACTGACCACCAGGGGGCAGCTCCTGCGTTGAGTTTATGCCCCCTCAACGCAGTGCACATGATAGCGACCAATCGTTCCACCGTTCGGTCAATCTGCATATTAACCTTTTATTATATAGGATATGCATATGTTGTATTGTGATATCTGGGCACGTTTGACTGTAGGAATAATTTTAAAAGTGAAAAATTGCTAATTATAATAAAATAATATAATGTGACATACAACATTTCCTTGATTTTTAATTACATGTAATACTTGTATTTCTAAAGTACAATGGATACAGTGTAATACAATTTAGCAATAAAAAGGAGTGAAGTACTGATACATGCTACAACATAGATAAACCTCTAAATATTATGCTATATGAATGAAGTCAGTCACAAAGGACCACATATTGTATAATTCAATTTATGCTAAATGTTTGAACAAGGCAAATCTGTAGAGACAAAAAAATAGAGGAGTGGCTTCCTAGGGCTAAAAGTAGGATGTGGGAGGGACTGCTAATGAGTATGAGGTTTCTTTTTAGGTGATGAAGATGTTCTAAAATTATGTCATGTTGATACTTACATAACTCTATGAAAACACTTAAAACCATTGAATTGTACTTTTAAAAAAAATATATTTTATTGATTTTTTACAGAGAAGAAGGGAGAGAGATAGAGAGTTAGACACATCGATGAGAGAGAAACATCGATCAGCTGCCTCCTGCACATCTCCTACTGGGTATGTGCCCACAACCCAGGTACATGCCCTTGACCGGAATCGAACCTGGGACCTTTCAGTCCGCAGGCCAACGCTCTGTCCACTGAGCCAAACCGGTTTCGGCTTGAATTGTACTTTTTAAATGGTAGAATTTATGTTATATTGATCATATCTTAATAAATCTTTTTTAAAGTAGAATATAATAGAAGTAATCCTGTTATTTGCATATTTTTAATATTTCCTAAAACTTTTGTGATATTATACTATGTTAGTACAGTTTTGGTAATATTATTATATTTAAAATCTTGTTTTCTTGAAATATTAATGTTTATTGCATGTAACATTATTATATTTAAAATAGTTTTTCTTGGGGAAAAAAAGTACTATTGAGTGTGTGTGTGTGTGGTGGGGGGGAAGATCATAGAGGGAAAAATTCCCAATTGAAATTTGACAGAAATGATAGTTAGCATCCCTAGAAGGAGAATCTAGGAAGAGAGGAAAGAAGAAAAGAATAAAGAAAAGTCAGGCTTAGAAAGTCAATGGAGAACTCATGGGAAATTTAAGCAATACACTGGTGTTCTAGGCACACCTAAACATCAGAACATTTGTCCTATGTGATTAGTAACCTTTGTAACTAGCAGCCAAATGTTATGGAACAGGAATTTATAACACATGGGCACAAATTTGTGCATACAAATACATATTCATACATGTAAGCACACACATAGTGAGTTGAAGCAAATTGGAATAGAAAAAATATCTTTGGAGTCCTTCACATTAGCTTAGGAGCTTCCTTCTGTCTTTTATCCAGTCCTAGACAGTTATTGGCTTCCACATTCATTCCTCAATCTGCCTACAGAAACCTGCTCCTAAGAAGGTAAGTCAATAGTTCCCATTACCTTTTCTGAAGTTTGATGCATTCCGGGTTTTCAGTTATTTCGTGCTTCTTTGGG